AAATTGTAATAACGTATCCAGTAAAGTTCTTGTCGTTTTTGTGAATAAATTGATTTAAAGTCCCCACAAGTGTTTCAATACGTAAAGTTCGTTCGTGTGTGTTTGTGAGTATTTCCCGATTTCGGTTCGTATATATTTTATTGTTACATTTTATATTTTTTTAATAACACTGTTCTGCTGTATTAAATTTTTATTTCCTTTAATATAATTTTTATGAATGCATATTCTTTTGGCAATTATCCCACTAGCGCGCCTCTGGCTCAGTATTTATCCGTCGATAACAATGGACAAATCCCTTAAAACAGGATGATACCTACCTGCTCTTTATGAAACGACATAATTTTGCAATGCGGACTAGGGAAGTGACAGAATTTATTGACGGATCACCCTGTAGCGCTTTTGAATACTTAATGAGATTTTATTACTCTACACTCTTTTGAAATAGACTATAGATTATCTGGACACCAACGACATGTGGCTGCAACAGGACGCCGTTACGTGTCACATAGCTCATGTCACATTGGTCGTTAGACTTTTTCTTGTGGGGTTTTTGGTCGCAGGTGACCTCACAGCAGACCCTAAAGCCAACATAACCCTTAGCATCAGTTAAATTCAGCCTGATTTAGGTGCCAGAGTCATGGAAAATTGGACGTATTGGACCCACAGTAGATAAAGTATATTTCTAAATTTGAATTTGGTCTAACTAGAACTATTTGCCCTAGCATTTCAAATCACTCTTCCTTCCTAGTAAATCGATTCATTATCTAATTATGTGAAACTAAACGTAACCACAAATGTCGACCAAAAATATTTCCCATGGTAGAATATTCATGAAAGATTTTCTATGTTTGTTGTCATTATCGGTAATTATCGTCAATCCCAACGCAGATAAACATAATTTCCTTCAATTAGGACCACAAGTCTTTTAGCATCTGTCTTTAACGACTTTAAGTGATAAGGATATTCTACCAATTTCCACTGAGAAATGAGATGAAATGAAGGAGAGGTTTCACGTTCGAGCTTGACGTCGTTTAGTGTGTGATTTATAAAATTACTGGGACGATTAACTGAGGGTTGAATCTATTAAAAGTTATTGGATTTACAGTGTCCTTGTCCCGATTCACCCACGTCTAACAAATAGAATATTCGACCTAGTTATGGCCGGATATTAACAGAGAACTGTTTTTTTTAGTGATATTACGGCGTCTTTCTTTATTGGGACTTGAGGTTCTCACAAGACAGTGTG